GGATTGGGGGCGACTAAATCTATTCCAGTTTAACCCCCAATAAACATAGGTTTGCGCGTTTACCGGAAAAAAGAACCCCTTTGTCGTATCTCCTCAATTACAGGGCACTCTCCTCGTGACGTACAGTTCCACATTGGAAGGGAAGGCTAAACTGACATCAAAAAAGCTTGGTGTGTTCAGTAGATCAAGACTGTATTTCATGCCAAACCACCGCCTGCAGCTTTACCAGGAGCAGGATCGTCCTCACATTGAATACTATTCTCGTCTCTGGGCCAGGACACCCCAGTATCAGCTCCTTCCACTAGACCATATTCAACGAAGAGTGGCCCGAATCGTCGACGATGAAGTTATTTCCGATCGGCTTGATCCACTGACCTTGCGAAGAGATGTAGCATCTCTATGCAACTTCTACCGCATATACCACGAGGATTACTCAGACAAATTATTCGAATTAATTCCAGCTGCTGAATTCAATCATCGTTCACTGCGACAGAACTCGAAATTTCAACCGTGCGATTTACGCGGCATTTTCTGCTTTGCACACCACCAAACTGTGGAATTTACTATCGCCAGCGGTTTTTCCGAACCGATACGACAAACTTATATCCATAAAGGAAAAGAACATACGTTGTATATATAACATCAAAGAAGCAATGCATCGAATGCATGAAATACACATTCTGTGAAAATTTCAACTGTCTACCTATTACGGATCATAAGATACAGTCCGCTGACAGACGGACGGACAGCGGAGGCTTAGTAATATAGGGTCCCGTTAGTTACCCTTTGGGTACTAAATTGTGTGGTATCCTCACTTTTAAATTGCCAGGACAATATCATTTAAGACATTTTGTATTTTCCAGAGTCTAACAGGGCCTGTAGTAATCTACTGCACTATGAAACACCCACAAAATTGTAACCTAAAGATTGCAAATAAACGCACTGATTATTGAAATGTTTTTTACCACTTTGTTTTTAAGACTATAGCAGCATAGCAGAACAAAGGACCTCTGGATAAAATTTGCTTACAGGCCCCGCACTTGCTTAATCCGGTACTGAACGCATGTGACCTATTAGTGGAAACGATAAAACAAGTGCACCGATGGTAATGTGAGCTTCAAGTTATTGCGTCCTTCGGAGACTTGAGATACTATAGTCTTCGACTGTCTGTTGGCTCAAGCTGCCATCAAAATCTCCCGAAAACGTCGTAATGTGACGCATACATAATATTGTGAAGAAATTTAGAAACAAATCATTTATTTAAAGATCCAATTAATGTTTCTGGGTCTATTATAATAATAGTAATTACTTAAATTTTTCATTATCTAATATATAAAATTCTCGTGTCGCGTGTTACCAAACTCCTCCGAAACGGCTGAACCGATTTGTATGAAATTTTGTGTGCATATCGGGTAGGTCTGAGAATCGGCTAACATCTATTTTTCAAACCCTTAAATGATAAGGGTGACCAACCCTTAAACATTTTTGACATTTTTTTTATATAATATGATTTGGCATTGAAAAATACATAAAAACTTCAAATTTTCACACCCTTCTACGACCAACTCCTGTTATTTAATCGCGATTTTTAAAAATAAAAAATATTTCTTAGAAATAAGTCGTTTATTTCTAAGAATTAAACATCATTTGCCGGGTCAGCTAGTTTTCTTTATTTTACGTTCATAGTGCAGTCACTAGCATAAAAAAGGGGTTAATATCGTAATTAGAGCAGCTGAATTTTCGTTTTGGCGTTCTAAAAGTTGTCTCAAAAGTATAAAATCGCGTCTTCGTAGTCAATTATTCAAGGTCAAAGATTTAAAAAAGTTTTTCGCGATTATCTCGGTTTATATTGCTCCAATGATGTTAACATCTACTATAAACATTGTAGAGCATAAAAATTGCGACAAATTTTATTTAAAATATTTTTTTGATGCGCTCAACCGTTTTTGCGATAGACAGCAATACATACTGTTTTGTAAGGGACAACTGTGAATATTACCTTGAATTTTGAATTATTTGTATTATTTATCAATTAATACATTTTTTTTAATAAAATTTTACATATTTTTAATATACTCATCTAATAATATTTACCTACTTTGATACTACCTACTTAGAAGCGAAAATTCAGCTTATTATCTCTCATTCCGAGGTTGATCGCTAATTTGACTGGACTATTCAGTATAAGACTTGTTTTGTGGGAGGGACAGCATTATGACTTCAGTTTTTATTGATTATTATTTTTGGTCCCTATCTAATTTTTGTACTGCGGGATATAAATGAAAATCCATTTTTAAGAAGAAAATTCCAATAATGAGCAGTCGTGCGAACTTCTTTCTTTTATTTACTTGACACTGGCAATAGTACACCAGATCGAGTTTGTTACGAAAGGAATAGAAGTGAAACCTTCCGAAATTTAAAAGCTGTTCGGCACAAAGCGCTTCTTTCGAAGCTCCCTCCTTCCTATGGGCTTCCAGAGAAATTGTGCAATTGAATCACCAGCTTTCTTGCAGATCGGAGAGTCAAGGTCGTTGTAGACGGTGCATGCTCCGACTAACAAGCTTATTAATACTGATGTTCCACAAGGCTTCGTGTTATCACCAACGCTATCTCTTCTGCATATCAATGATATGTTGTGAAGCGGTAACATTCATTGCTATGCGGATGACGGCACTGGTGATGCTCTATACACCGGCCGTGCCAATATTTTTCGGGAAAACGTCGCTGAGTACCGGAACAAACTTGTGACTGAAGTTGAGTCTTTGCTGAACGGTTTCGGATGGGGGCGACTAAATCTAGTCCAGTTTAATATTCAGAAGACACAAGTTTGCGCTTTTACCGCTAAAAAGAACCCCTTTGTCGTAACTCCTCAAGTTTCAAGGCACTCCTCTTGTAGCCTCAGCCAGTATCGGAATCTTCGGCGTCGACATATCGAGTGACGTGCAGTTTCGTGGTCTCTAAAAAGCTTGGCGTGCTCAGCAGAGCGGGGCAGTATTTCATGCCGGCACACCGCCTGCAACTTTACAAGGCGCAGGTTGGACCTCACATGGAATACTGTTCCCATCTCTGGGCTGGGGCTCCGCAGTGCCAGCTCTTTCCACTTGACCGCATCCAGCGCAAAGCGACTCGAATCGTCGACGACAGAGTCGTTACCGATCGATAACTGGTGCCGCGAAGAGATCACTTTCATTTTCTTTCGCATTTACCACGGGGAGTGCTCTGAGGAATTGTTCAGATTAATTTCAGCCACTAAATTTCACGAACACACATCGCGGCATAACTCCCGATACCATCCACACCATCTGGATGCTTGGTAGTCCACTATTGTACGTTTCACTAAGAGTTTTCTTCCGCGTACGAGCTCTCTGTGGAATAATTTACCATCGGCGATTTTTCCGGACCGATACGACTTAGGAACCTTCAAGAAAAGAGCTTACTCCTTTTTAAAAGGCCTGCAACGCACCAGTAATTCTCTTGGTGTTGCAGTTGTTCATGGGCGGCGACAGTCGCTTACATAGGCTGCACTAAATGTATCGGAAATTTTAAAGTTACTTTTAAAAATCGAATACCATTTATTTATTTAAAAAAAGATTCTCGGTCTTGTCACAAGGTTTTGTCAAACTTGTTTAGTCGTTGAGAAAATGGAATTGACTCGAGAAAATTCAAGAGCGATGATTTATTATGACTTTCGAAGTGGTTTAACACAAAAACAATGTGTTGACCGGATGATTTCTGCATTTGGTGATGAAGCCCCATCCAAAACCACAATTTATCGCTGGTTTGCTGAATTTCAACGTGGACGTGTCAAGCTCAGTGATGATCCCCGTCAAGGTCGTCCAAAAACTGCAGTCACCCAAGAAAACGTTGATGTTGTGCGTAAGCTGATTGAGGAAGATCGACATGTGACATACCGCGAAATTCAGGCAACTTTAGACATTGGCATGAGTCAAATACAAATAATCTTGCATGAACAATTAGGTGTAAAAAAGTTGTTTTCCCGATGGATACCGCATTCGCTCTGTGAAGAGCAAAAAGCGGCTCGCGTTACTTGGTGCGTCAGAAATCTCGAAAGATTCCACGCAGGATCCTCAAATGCTGTATACAACATCGTATCAGGTGACGAATCCTGGATATACGTGTACGAACCCGAAACAAAAAACCAGTCACGAGTTTGGGTGTTCGAAAATGAGTTAAAGCCAACAAAAATTGTTCGTTCACGGAGTGTTGCAAAAAAAATGGTGGCCACGTTTGTCTCCAAAACCGGCCATGTTACGACTATTCATCTTGAGGGACAAAGAACGGTTAATGCAAAATGGTATGCTAGCATTTGTTTGCCACAGGTCGTTTCTGAACTCCGTAAAGAGAACTGCAACCGCCGCATCATCCTCCATCAGGACAATGCGAGTTCTCACACCGCACACAGAACAAAAGTTTTTAGAGCAAGAACACATAGAATTATTAGACCATCCGCCGTACAGCCCCGACCTAAGCCCTAATGATTTCTATACTCTCCCTAAAATAAAGAATAAATTGCGTGGACAGAGATTTTTTTGGAGACCCCAACTTCCGAATGGAATGGTTGCTTCAATGATTGGTTCCATCGTATGGAAAAATGTTTCAAATTTCGCGGAGAATACTTCGAAAAGCAATAAATACATTTTTACATAGTGTTGTTGTCACTTCCTTGATTCCCGAAATTTTCAGTACCGCCCTCGTACCATCAGATAAGCCGTATGCTCCTTTGCCCTCTCCTCTAAAAAACTGGACACTGAGATAATAGGAAACACTGTATATATAGATATACAGTGTTTCCTATAATATATTAATAAATACAGCTATTTGTCTCATTCTCTCTCAGGCTAATCCTACAGATGTTCGTCTCGTCCTTTTTCGGTTCATAAGTTTCAAATCACAACGATTCTAAAGAAGTTTTCAATTTCAATAATGAGCAGTCGCATTTAATACTACTATAGTAGAGCTAAGAGGCAGCGTTGCGGTACCTGGCGGCCGATGATCGCGCCGACCATGTCGCTTTGCACGAGCAGCCGCAGCGGGAAGTCGGTGGGGCGCGCGCCGGCTGGTGCGCCGCCGCCGCCACGCCCGCCGCCGGGCCGCCCGCGCCTCCCGCCGCGCGCGCTCGCCTCCGCCGGCTCCACCTTCATGCGGTTGCCCTCCAGCTCGTACCCGTTCAGCCCGTTGATCGCCCTGCAACAACGCACGCGCCCACACTGTACAACACGCCGCCGCCGACACCACCGCTCATACACATCAAAAACAATAACGGTAGATATAGCTAAACCGCTAGAGCCACACTGCAGCTATAATATGGTAGTAGCACGAATGTCTTGGCTCGACCGGGGTAGGACCAATCGAGGATTGATGTAGATGTCCATGGACCACAGCATCCGCTTACCATCGGGTGGACAATGTATATTAAAAGTTAAATTCAGTTAAGACTTGCAACGAATCGTGTACTCGGCCACATGCCGAATATCGAATATTCTGCGAGATTCCTGGCCGAATATTAGGCAAAAGTATTCGGCCTGGAAGAAAGTAACTCCTTCCGAGCGCCTTTACTCTGAAGCTGGGATTGTCTTACGAGAAATAAAGTTTTTGTATCAATCTTCCACGTCAAAATTTTAATTACTATAATAATTCAAGTTATGCACTTGACATTTATTTGATAGTTTTTTGTTAACTATTATAGCTATGACTACTTTAATGATTACAAAAAAATACATTATTATTATAAAATAAATCAAATTTTCATTTTACCAAGTATCTTAACTACAACAAAACATTTCAAGTATTCAGTAACGGAGGACCGAATATGACAAAAGTAGCCAAATGGGCCAAATACCGAATAATAGCAGAATAATCTGTTGCAACATAAATTGATGTAACATAAATTATGATTTAGAATATTGTAACTTCTCATTAAGTGAAATGTATATTTCTTTTGAGAATACACATATTGAGCCAGATGTAATAAAAGACAAGGGTAACACAAACACACGGATGATGTAAGTTAATACAATACTATGGTCTACAGATATCTGCAATTTTAATGCAGCAGCCACGCTACGGCTCTATCACGATAAAAACCAATCCACAAAACTGCTAAGTTTGTCTTTATATCGTCAACTGAATATCTAAGGACCCCTCTCCCGCACACAAATAGTGGCACGGTTCGCCACGAATTGACGACGAATTATATTAGCTAATTTAGCGCCACTCGGTCTGTAGACCTCCTCTGACCTCATTCACACGGGAGTTTTTTCTACGTTTGTTAATATAAAAGCGTTTGAAATAAACACTTTTTGCAGTGTTAGATTTTAAACATTCGGCGGTAAAGCGTTAGACCGAATGCCCCTTGCATAGTGCAAAATTTACAGCAAGCTCTCTCGTGCGAATGAGATCTAAGGTCTAACATAGGGTTGCCAACCGTTCTAAACACAAATATAACCAAGATAATATTCAAATGTGTGCGTTACTAAAATTACTTCGCCTGTTTCTAGGGAACGAATCGCATCGTGATTTCGAATTATGAATAAATTTGATTAAACTAATATTTTTAATTTTGGAAATCTTAAGAAATATCTTCATGAATGCAAACAAAGGTACTATATTTTCATGCACTTTTCATATTTCTCTAAATTGTAGTTGGCAACTCTACACATACAAACATGCTTTTCTCACTCCATATTAAGCTTTATATTTTATTAAATGTCAAACACGCATACAAAATACAATCGTAAGTTTAAGAGACCTTTAGTAAGTGCATCATAGAATTGTCGCAAAGATTTAACACAGGAAACTTAAATTTTTAACACAAGTTGTTACAATAAAATGTGCAATCCACCATGCTGCTGTAAGTTCATAGAAGAAAGTAAGATTAGAATATTATAGAAAGCAAAAGAGTGAGTCCGTATCACAAAGGTAATTCATGCAAGAGTCGGCGGTACAGAGAAGAAGCAGCGGCCCAAGCATCCGGAGCCAAACAGGAAGTTAGAAAAGGCGATGCGGCCCCAACACTGACATGTCGGTCAATACTCACTGCTGCGCCTGCTCCGGAGTCTCGAATGTGATGTACACCGCTTGGGTGTTGGGATCTCGCGAATGCGCTTTGTCGCAATGCTGCACGTTGCCATACTGGGAGAGCAGGGGCTCGATGTTGTCGAAGCGAGCATGCAGCGGAAGTCCACTGATGAGTACCTTTGATGATCGGCTGCGAGAAGTGATATAACCACTTGTAGAAAAATTGATTCTCAAGCCAACAATACATTCAGATATGCTAAAGGGGAAGAAGAACGAACCGGACCGTTTTGCGATTTAGCGGTTCAGAAATTATTGAAATTTTCGTTTTTCATTTACGTTCACAATCAATTAATCAAATATCCTTAGGAATAACACAAGGTATTTTAAAAATAAATCATTATCAGATTTTCGCACAGAGATTAAGAAAGATGATGGTCACCGAGGATTAACGATGAGACGACCAACACCAATCTTATTCTGAACTACATTAAATCAAAGCTTATTATTTGACTATGCATAATTGTTTAAGTATATCGCTAAAATCTAATAGATTACTATTTGTAAGTGCCCCATTAGAATATTAAAAAAAAATACAAAGCAAATTATTGAAATGAAAAACTATACTTTTAGATTTGCAGGTTATAAAATGCACTACGCACTCAAGAACAATAAAGAATGTAAAAATGTAATCATAAAAAAGAAATTCACATAAAATAAAATACATAAGGCTGCGAGTAGGAAATAGGTGCGGCAACGGACGTCAACGGGCAGCGGAGGGTCGCGGGCGCGGGAACGTATGCCGCGCGCCACAAAATGGCGGAGCGCCGGCCGGAGGTGACATCATCGCACGCTCGTCACTACGCCCGCCCCCGCGGCCCTCCGCAGCGCGCCATTCACAACTGCGCCACGGTTCTGCTGCACCGCCGTCCGCGCCCCGTGCACTCCCCGTGCGATTTTTGACCCCTCTCAGTGCGTTTACCTACTTCGAATTCGTCTATTGTGACTTGTGAGGCGTTAACTACGTCCATAATATAATATCAACACTGGCAAAACTAGTAACAAAAATATCGAAGTTAAACCCAACTAAACTTAAAACTTATTGCTTAGGGTTCGTCGAACTTCGATTTGTATGGCCCATAAATAACTGTTTCTCGACTGGATGATATTGTCCTTTTACAAATGGACGTAGTTATACAAAAACGTTCCAACCCACAAGCCATTCAAAAATGAGTTAAATATTTATTTATTAATATTAAATATACAGATCTACTTATTATGAATCGCTTCGCGAAGATGTCAAAATAAATAAAATCTGTATGTTTAACTCATTTTTGAAACACGTGGGTTGGAACGATTTCGTATAACTACGTTCAATTTCTGTATGCAAACTGCCACCACGATACGGGAGAAATTCCGAAATATAGGAGTATGGATTTTTTTTAATAAAATTAGAATGAATAATGAGTTCTTTTTTATGCGACCAGTATAATCTACTGTGATCTATACTATAAGTGCACTGTTAAGCCTTGCATCTTCAATGAATTGAAAAAAAATGCTTAGCTGTGAGCACTGTTTTTTAGGCTAAGAACGTAGTTTCGCAGATGAGTTACGTTGGCGCATTAAGGGTCCGCAGTTATTTAGGATGTGCGGAAAAAACATCTCTTTCTTCCTTTAAGGAACAGAATCAGTACATCCTTGAGTTGCCTAGTCCGAAAATCGCCATAAGCTTTTCGTTTTAACTTGATCCCAAGACTTCCGAAGCGAATTTAAGATCACATACCAGGATTAAAGTTGTGCTTACTTACTTACTTAAGCCTGGTATATCATATCAGAGCTTACGTGATTTTTTGTGGTAAAGAGTTCCAAGGACGAAGGCCAGGCCTTTTTGACATTTCACAAAATAGCTTGGGTCCAAATTTTGTACACGCTATTTATTGTCTACAATACCTACACAACCCGATCCTGTTGTTACATCCCTAGGCGTCTAAATGGTTCGCGCAATCTCCCACTAGCTTTGAAGTCACTAAGTTTGATTTTAGTTCTAGCAATGCTGCTTGACTATCATAATACATGTGTTTAATATGGTTGACCAGTGTTTTCTTTTAAATAAAATAATAAGTTCCTACTGAAAAAGTTAACAAAAAAAAAACAGAATTATGTACCCACTTATTCCAAGTTTTAATGAATAAAAATTAGGTATGAAGCAATTTAGATCGGAGTTTTTGCTGAAGTTTTATCAATAACAGCTAACGGTATAGAAATACATCACTGCTGGACATATGTCCTGCTGTAAAAAATTTATTATTTCTCTCTCTACGTGTAACGTATTTGCTTATATAATACATGCGCATATTTAATAACAAGCCTTTCCGGAAATTTAATGAGAAATTTCGGCGTAATGGCAATCACAATACGTTAGGAGGTAGTATTATTCTGTGACCGCACCACTAGCAACAGCTTCCCTCCTCTATCCCTCAGCTAAAAAAACATAGGGGAATCGAACTTGTACACTTGTTTACTTGCCGAGTTTTAAGCTATTCACCAGCTGATTTCTTTAGACGGATTTGACAACTTTTTTAATTGTTTGGAATACGTTACCAAGTTTTAATAAGCTCTTTTAATTAATGAAGTATATTTTTTATTTTAATAAGGCGAATTTGTTTCCAGGAGAAAACAAATATTTTTACATGTTCATAGAAAAACAGAAGTAACCCACCATGTAAAGAGCAGAGAATCTAGTTCTGTGGTCGAAAACAAACCTTTTAGTGTCTGTCAAATATTCTCGATATACCTACGTACTTATAATTTATTTTGTAGACAACTAAGTTTCCACATTACGATATTTTGCTTTACCGTTCAGCGTAGCTGCTTAATAAGTATTCTTGGCAATAATTAATGAAGTTATTCATAGGATTATAATACAACATAAACAAATTGTGAATTACAATTGTTGGGAAAAAAGTTCTGTTTGACTTATATTCAGTATGAAAGTGAGAAGCTATTTGTTAAGTTACGTAAACCCCATAATATTACTTCCTTAAACTTCATTTTAATATTACGTCCTTTTTGCACTATGCGATTTGCGAAGGCAAAGTTGAGCAAGTTTATTTTTTTTTATAGGATAGGGTGACAAACGAGCACACAGTCCACCTGATTGTAAGTGGTTGCTGTGGCCCATAGACATCTACATTTATCCTCGTTTGTGAATCAAAATGCAGATGCGTTGTCACCCTTGAGGACTAAGATGGAATGCCTCTTTTCGAGTAAAAAGGGTCTCCGGTTCTCTGCACTCACCATACGAAACACAGCAGCATTAAGCTGCTATTTTACGCTGGTATTCTGTGAGAACGTGGTCCTTCCCCGGTCGAGCCGACCCATTCGTGCTACAACTATACTACTAATATAACTGCAGCATGGCTCTACCAAACACCGTAAACATTTGGTCGATGACGAAACTACACGATAAAAAAAACAAACGCTAAATGCATTCACACCACAAAGAGATCAAAATGTAACATAGGAGCTTTCAGACACCCGATTGAAGGTTAAAGGAAACTGGTTTCTCGGATAGGGTTAAAATTATTTAGAAGAAATTTAGTCTAGGTAATGTTTGATGAAAATAATGATTTATGATATAATTATCGGCGCAGCTTAACTCAAGATGAACATAGATCAGTGATTGCTTCCAACGAAACCTTGACACGTCCTTAAACTTACTATGAATTAGTACTTCTGCCGTAAGTATTTTCCTATACCTACTAATACTATTATAATCAACAAAAACATGGTTGATGCTCGAGGCGAATAAATGCGAGAGTCCCTTGGACAGAACTTATCTGGAATCAATTCTACAAGAACTAGGCATAAAACAAAGTTATTTAGCGTTAGTACAGAGTCGCGGTTTGAAAGTTTTACTCATCTCCCGGCGAAAGTGACTCCATAAAGCATCTTATCGTGCGAGACTAAGTGAAGGGCACCCATAAAGAGAGTAATGTCAACCATACGATAAACTCACCAAATTACGTCTGCTGTGGCGGCCGCTGCATGAGTATACCACCAGGTTGTCAGTCAACAGAAAGAAGTGGCGAATACTCGTGAGGCGAATAACATTACCCATAAAGACGTCACTTCGTGATAACTGTGACCGCTCTGCCAAATGGCACGAGGAAGAGAAATAACACGTAATGACAATAACAATAATTTGCCAGATGATCAATCAAAAAATAAAAAGCCTAACCACAATCAAAAAAAATATTTAATACTTCTGACCAGAATATTTTGACGTGTGACAGGTACGTCAAATATTAACATTTTTATGTATATAGAAACATAAATGTGCAATTTTAGTTACTTTCATTTTTTTAAAGTGAATACATATTATTATCACATATGTTTACTTATGTATCTACCAAATTCCTATATAGGTAGATAGAATGACAATCATTGACATTAACATTGAAGTGATAGTCATCGGCATTACCGACATATCAAAAGCGCTCAAAAACAATTTACTTATCGTGTCCGCTTCTATATTTAAGGTAGTTTTACATGTCATCTCAATTAATTACCTGGATAAGATTAAAATAAAACCATTTTTCGTTTCATGCATTACATACGAATACATAAAACTCACATTTGTCTCCCAGAGCGCATCCTCTCTCTCTCTCTCGATTGTTTCACATTATTAAACCTACGTACTTCGAATGTTTAAATTTATCTTCAATAAATCCCAATTTTGGTCTACAAACGTCCGACACTGACTAAATTCGCTTTGTCAATCTTTTCTATTTAATTTTTTCTTCGTGTATAAAAACCACCAAATCATAGTTTTATTTGTGGTCAAAACATCGATTTAAAACCATACTTTTCTCTTATCATACAACTTATCATTACACGTTTTTACACGTGGTAGAGCCATGCTGCAGCTATATTATATTGTTGTAGCACTAATGGGTCTGTTCTACCGGGGAGAACCACACTCTCACAAAAGACCAGCGTAAAATAGCTGTATGTTTCTGTTACAATTAAACGAGGCATTCCATTTTAGTCCTTATTCTTAATTGAGGATAGACAAAAATATCACTCAGATGCCTAATATATTTTTCTTATTAGCATTTCTACAGCATTAATTTCTTGCTTCTTATGCCTTTGGGGTAAGTAAGAGGTGGTTCGTCGTCACGATATTTATGC